ACAAGAGTTCGAGGGAGGCAGCTCCAATGATCCCTACGGAAGTTTGTTCGGCACGGTTAGAAGCATCGCTCAGCGGTAGTCCGAACGAATAAGTTCCCTTCATTGGGGTGGGAAATCTCAGTCTTCAGTTACACTGGGATCATCTGTAGGCACGGGGGATGAATTAGGATGAGATGGATTGAGTTAAGTTTACAGAGGTGATTATGCTACAAACGTTTGCACTTTCCTGACAACGGTTCTCGAGGTTCTGACTTACACACTACTGGGATGGTCCAATAGGATTGGTGTAGTCAATTTAGCTATTTTAGATTTTTATCCGGAGAGGGACTGGATGATTATTGGCAATTGATGAGGTTTGAGGTAAAGACAGCCAAGGCTCAATTTCACAAAAATCGCAATAAAAACATAAATAAATAAAGTGAATTCGTCGTTTATATAGCAAACGAAGCGTGAACTGGAAAGTAAGGAAGCACTGCACAGCTGTTTCGTCCTGGTTGGGTCTCATCAGTAGTGCGAATCCATCAACCCAACTGGAGATCGAATGGAAAATGAAAAACGGTCTGATCAGCTGCCCGGTTTGGCGAGTGGATAGCATGCTTNGCGTTCTACCTGTGAAGTTCCGGGTTGCAGTTGGGTCAATGGATTCGCATTGCTGATGAGGCCCAACCAGGTCCAAATAGCTATCCAGCTTTTCAGTTCACGCTTCATTTGCTACATACTTGACGAATTCACCTTTGAAATTGAATCAAATCCTCCATTACTTTCTTGAAATAAATAAATCAAGCTGTCCGAAATAATGTCACTATGACACCTAATTAACTTGCCATTTGAAAAAGGTTCTCATTTTCTTGAATTAAAAAAACGAGGAGAAGGTTTCTTCGAACTACTACTCTGAGAAACATACTTGGAGCCAAATCTCCTAAAATGAACAAAAACGTATCTTGCTTTCATTATTTACTGAAGGTGAAAAGTACAAGATGGGCGGTTCCGAATGGTCAAAATGCGCTTCATCTCAACTCGGAGTGTTCGTCAATTTTGGGGACTGAACGATGCGTGCCTATAGCGCCTACAGCAGTCGCACAGTATATCTTCAAATAAATAGCCACGAAAGATCGCGAACTGCAAAAACCCGGTCGCAATCATTACCCAACGGGCTCAAGGAGTCAGCGAGCGGGGCTCCCTGAGCAGAGGATATTTCAGACACTTGGTCGTATAGGATTACTTCGTGCTGTGCTAGGGAAGAATAACCCACCACAACCCGAGGCACTCATCCCATACCATNCTCACGGAATCTAATTATTGGTAAAATGAAATCCGTGAACATACACTGTTCCCCCTTCAAAGTTTGTTACGATTACAACAGCGATATGTTTCCTTTTCTTCTCGGAGACATATACCACTTGCTTGTTGCACCTCAGCACACAACCACCAATATTCTGTTCCCGGAATTTCTCCAAACTTTGCCTTTATTTTCAACATTCCAATCCGGATACGAATAAAGACAAACGGGTAAATTATTGGGTTTCGGTCAGGTATTTTAAATCAGTGTCAATTTTCAAACTTCACGTCTCATTACCATGATAAATTTATCACCATCATCATCATCATCATCATCATCATCATCATTCTCATCATCATCATCATCATTATCATCATCATAATCATCCAAATATTCATCAACATCATCCTCACCATCAACACCATTATCATCATCATTATCAGCGTCATTATCGCCATCATTATACAAATCATCATCATCATCGTCATCATCATCATCATCATCCAAATCATCATCATCATCTTCATCATCATCGAAAGCATCATCAACTTCATCATCATCGCCGTCCAAATCAAAATCATCATTATCATCATCCAGATCATTATCATCGTTATCAGCATCGTCATCATCCTAAACTTCATCATCTTCATCGTCATCCAAACCATATTCATCATCACTATGGTGATCAAAATCCTCATCAATATCCATATCATCATCACCGTCATCATCATCATCACCCAAATCATCATCATCACCATTGTCATCATCATTTTCATCATTGTTATCATCATCATCATCATCGTCATCATCATTCAAGTCGTCACGATCATCAGCTTTATCATCGTCATCATCCTCATCGTCATTATCTTTATCATCAGTGGCAGCAGCAGTATCATTATCATCATCCAAAGCATTATCATCGTCACCATCGTCGTCTTCATCATTATTATTATCATCATAATCATCAGCATCTTCATCATCCAAGTCATCATCATTTTCATTATCATCTTCAACTACATCCAAATCATCATCATCATGATCACCGTCATCATCATCATCCATATCATCATCATCATCATCATCGTGATCCTCATCATCATCATGAACATCATCAACATCAAAATCATTATCATGATCCAAATTATCGTCGTCATCAATATAATCATCATTATCACTCGCATCGATATCATCATTATTGTCTGCATACCAATCAACTTCGTCATCATCATCATCATTATCATCATCATCATCATCATCATCATCCAAATCATCATCGACACCATCGAATTCATCATCCTCTTCATTATCGACATCGCTGTCATCAACATTATCATTATCATCATCATTTTCCAAACTATCATCACCATCATTATCATCATCATCATCATCCAAATCATCATCATCATTATCAAAATCTTCATCGTCATCGTCATACAAATAATCACCGTCATGAACGAGGTCGTCATCATCATAATCATCCTCAGTCCTATCATCAACATCATCGTCATCATTAAATTCCAAATCGTCATCAACATCATTATCATCATCAATCAAATCATCGTCATCATCATCATCATCTTCATCATCCAAGTACTCATCGTTTTCACTATCATCATCTTCTTCAACCAAGTCACCATCTTCATCATTTTCTTCATCCAAATCATCAATATCATCATCATATAAATCACCCTCGTCATCAATATCCCAATCATCATCACCGTCGTCATCATCATAATCCATATCATCATCATCTTCAGCCCCATCGTCCTTATCATGGTCCAAATCATCATCATCATCATCAACATCATCATTATCATTTTCATCATCATCGACATCATCATCACTATCATTATTCAAATCACCATCATCAACATCATCATCGTCAGCCAGAACGTCATCATTTTATCATAATGCAATTCATCATCATCATCATCATCTTCATCATCATCATTATCATCAACATTATCGTCATCATTATTCAAATTATCATTATCGTCATCTTCAGTGCATCTTCATCATGATCATCACCATCATCAGCCAAATCTTCGTCATTATCACCATCCAAATCATCATCATCATCATCATCATCATCATCATCATCATTGGCAATATCATCATCATCATCATCCAAATCATCATCATCATCATCATCATCATCATCAAACTCTTCATCGTCACCGTCATACAAATCATCACCGTCATCAACGAAGTCGTCATCATCATTATCATCCTCAGGGCCATCATGAACATCATCATCATCTTTAATTTCCAAATCGTCATCATCATCATTTTCATCGGCATCATCATCATCTTCATCATCTTCAGCATCATCGATATCTTCCTTAACTTCGTCATCATCGCCGCCCAACTCATCATCGTCATCATCATCATCCAGATCATTATCATCGTCAACCAAACCATCTTCATCAACGTCATCATCGTCATCGTCATCCAAATCATATTCATCACTATTGTGATCAACATCCTCATCAATATCCATATCATCATCATCATCATCATTATCATCATCATCATCCAAATCATCATCATCATCATTGTCATCATCATCATTTTCATCATTGTTATCATCATCGTCATCATCATCATCCAAGTACTCATCGTCTCCACTATCATCATCGTCTTCAACCAAGTCACCATCTTCATCATTTTCTTCATCCAAATCATCAATGTCATCATCATATAAATCACCCTCGTCATCAATATCCCAATCATTATCACCGTCGTCATCGTCATCATCGAAATCATCATTATCTTCATCATAATTCTTATCATCATTATCATCGTCTTCATCATCCACGTCGTCACCATCTTCAATATCATCATCATTTACATGCATATCATCATCATCTTGATCGTCGTCATCATCGTCTTCATGTTCATCATCACAATCATCTTCATCATTCGAATCTTCATCACTTTCCAAATCATCATCAACATCAGCATCACCATCATCCAGATCATCATCATCGTCAATGAAATCATCATCATTATCGTCATCATCATCATCCTCACCATCATCATGCCAATAGTGATCATCAACATTATCCAAATCCTCATCCTCTATATCATCATCATCATCAATATCACCATTCAAATCACCATCATCTTCACGATCATCTTCAACATAATCCAAATCAGCATCATCATCGACGTCATCGTCAACCTTATTCAAATCATCATATTCTTCACCATCATCATCCAAGTCATCATCATCAGCCTCCACATCATCCTCGTCATCACCATCATCATGATCATCGTCATTCAATTCATCATCGTCATCGTCCTCACCATCATCATCATCATCGTCATGTTGTTTTTATTATTGTCATTGTTATAAATGACATGTGCAGGTTACTGTGACTTCATTTCAGTCAGAAATGTGTTCAACATTACAGTGGGGCATAAATCAAATGAAAATTCACGTACAACAATATTAAATCCTAAATAAGTGTTCATCTTTGTAGGTTTAAAATTCGTTCGCTATGGCTGCACACCGTGTCAGTGAGGATACAAGCCAGATGAGGTACTGTGGAGTTGCGGGAGGGCAAGCAGTGAAAATTTGATCGGGTTGAAGCGTGGAAACGGTAAGCAGATCAATTGGGACTGAGCAGATGACTGGGGTCATTGAGTATCTTATGAGCAAACTTTTCGCATGAAGTGGTATGTAAATTATACAATTTTGTGATCAGTGTTTAAAGGTATAAGAGAAACATGGCTGATCATTATTAAGTAGTTCAGGGAAAATAACGGGCGAACAATGAAGTTTGACAGGAAAAATGAATTGAAAAAAGAACACAGTTTCATGCCTCACTCGATATTGTCGTTAGTTGCGTATTTGAAAAGATAAGCGACACAGTCTACTAACACAACAAATCAGTCCTCCATTACTCCCGTCAAACAATTTGCAAAAGTCTCCAAACCAAGACAGAACATGACGTGTCGCTTGACCCATGTGGGAAAAGACCAAATCAACCAATACACTAAATATTCGTACACACAAACACACATCCTGTGCTCTCTTCCTCCGATTACTGATCCTAAATTGATCCAATGGCTATCACTATGTAAGAAATTTTTTCCATTCTATAGTATGTAAGACCATGACTGGGAATTTCCGAAAACACTTGTTCGCTCACAGACTAATTTTCTTAACGAATCATAAACCTGGATGCTAGTGCAGAAATGAGTGAGGATCGATACTCACAACAAGCTCGTTATACGTGTATATTCCAAATGAGAAACGATCTGATCAGTCAATCGATGGCTGAGTGCTTAGTATCGCTACCTGTGAGGTTTTGGGTTCGATATACAGTTGGATCGATAGACTCGCTCACTGTCGATGAGACCCAACCTGGTGGAAACAGCTGTCCAATGCCCCTCAGCTTTTCATCTCACGCTTCATTTGCACGACGAATTCATTATATAAATGTGGAAATTCCCAAATAGAACGCCAGCAGTATCTGAAGCATTCCTTTTCCATGATTAGTTAGACACGGAACACACGATTGTCAGGCTGCACGATTTAGTTTCCACACCAAGTTGACGAAATCGCTGATGATATAATTCATGGAAATGGACAGGTTTGCATTTGGGAAGTATCCTTTAAAAAGGTAGGATTTTGTTGGCTCCTCGTCGCTTATCATACAAATGTCAAACTGACGGCATCAAACTCGACAAAAACACGATTTTTCCGAAAAGAATTAGATAGGAAAATTGGACAACCTCTAATAGATCAAACTGAGCATCCTATTGGTGGCATCTCATTTTTGTACATCTCCCAGTGCACTGATAATGTTGATCAATCCTAGGTGGAACCATGTCACACCAAATTTTTCACACCTGTGATCACTTCAGTGAGTGCTCAGAAAGTAGCATCTGGGAGCCTTTTATCAGGGGGGGGGTGGTATAATATATCACCGGGCAATTGCAGCGTGAAGTACATCACACACGAGGCTAGTAGAATACTGTTTAAATGAGATTGTTTGTTGATTATAACCATTCGCAAGCGAGAAAAAGGGATCTGTGATGCAGATTACCGCAAGTTTAACAAAACGGTATTATAAGATGAATCTTGGCAGGTTCTTAAGGAGTTACAACAATTGGTACATTATGGTAACTCAGTGGTTTAGTCGCTATCACCGGCCTACTTTGGATCCTGTGGTCCGAGGTTCGAGCCCCATTAACGCCACCTAAATTTGAGGTTTACCGCTCCAGGTCCTGGGGCTTAGGTTACCGATTTCCATCAGAGATCGACAGGTCCTTAGGTCTATGTGGCTAAACCCGTCTGCCATTCGTCAAACAAAAGTGTGTGATTTAAAATAAAAGACCCACATACTAAACGTCTATAGGTGCGATAGTTTTACTCTTATTATTATTGTTATTATTTTCTTATCAAAAAAAGAACTCGTCAATCCCCTATCAATGAGATGCCACAAAATCCTATGCGAACTTAATCGATTGGTATTTTTTCACCTCAAGCCAATACTCATATCT